AGGAAGTTCTTCTTTTTAACGTCAGGTTGGATACTATATTAAGTTGGTGTTAGGGAGGAACCCTAGAAACCTGGTGAGGTGGACGAGGTGACCGGTTGGTTTGTGGTTATCAATGTTTTAGCCGACGCCTTCCTGAAACGTCGATCTCGGGACAGAAAGTTAAAATCAAGGGAGAAAAAATGTGGACTTTTTGGAGAGGCGTTGTTTCACCGTACGTTTTGGACGGAGGGAATGCGAAAAAAGGAAAGGAATGTAAGCAAGCAGTTGGCCGAAAAAATTTTCCAAAGCGTGGGACGATAACAAAGTTAGCGAGTTACCACCAATTTTAGCATTTAGTCAAATCACGTGCGAACATGCCAGTTACACGAGGCTGGGCTTCGCACATAATTAAAGTTAATACGTACAGTCGTGTTACGCGAAACACTGCACATATATATTTTTTATGGTATGGTATATCGCATCATATACTTACTGTATATACAGTTCAGTACGTTATGGTTGACATAATACATACAGTAAATGCTTCGTGTGTCAGTAAATAATTAAATAATTAACGGTCGCGTATTCTGATCTGAGTGAGCGACGAGATGATGAGTGAAAAGAGGGATCAAAAGAATGCACCTTCTTTTTTCAAGAAAAGAATTTGTGCCAATGTGCATGCAGACGAACTCCACACGTCAAGCTTCACACTACGTTTATTATTGTCCTAAAAAGTAAAGGAAATGTAGATATCTCGATTATTATCCCAATTAAGAATGACTTCCATTATTCTTTGACCGCCTTTGTTGTCAAACCAATCTTGTTTGCAATTTATGTCAAAAACTTGATGACCTTTAATTTAACGAATTCGTTTAATACGAGAAACAATTGTATCATCATCAGCTTTCACTTTTTTCACTTTTCTAGTTTTTTTTCCGCACGGTTTGATGTCGACGGCGTTTCTAAAATTTGGCGTTGCCAATGTGTGTGAGACCACACACACATTCGTCTAAATTTAGTGAATCTCTATGAAAATGTAAGATATACAGGGACGCTAATGCACATCACTAAAAAGATTGCTTTTGGAAGGTATAATGAAAATTCATGATTTTCCAAATGTTGTGAACACAGATGACAAATTGTGTATAAAAAATTAAGGGACCGCCAGTGTTTCCATGTGGTTTCGCAGAATATGTAAAGGTGAGGTACTTTCGCATGCACGTACACGCACACTCGAATCGTCAAGTGGTCTTTCTTAGGACAAATTAATAATGATTCTTATAATCGAGAGATTTTCCCCCCCCCCCCCCCCCATTATCACCGCCCCCCGGATTCACGATTAATCGATTGCGGGATGGCGTCTAATAATGACCATTTAAAATTTGGTCTAGATAAATCCGTCGTTTTGCATGTGTCCGATAAACTACGCTACATATCAGGAAATCTTTTAAATAAAAAATTTCTCTGATAAGTCATCCGCGTAACCCTTGATCGACCTCAATCCTTCCCGTTTTAACACCTCATTTAGGGATGATTTCATTTTTTCAGTAATTTGGGGGCAGTGATAAAGAAATTCAATGGTCTTGCGTTGAAGGCCTTCGGGCAATGAAACAAATGGTCCGTATACGGCTGCATTTTATTACACGTGATATTTTTTAATACAGTTTTAATTAATTAATTAATTATGAATTATTCAATGCTGGAAGAGGTAAAACTATATTTTCCAAAAAATTTACCTTTGTTGGGTAGTTCCACGTGGAAAAATGGAACAAGGGAAGTTTGTAACCGATCCCAAATCTATGACATTTGGCAAACAATCATCAAGAAAATAAAGAAAAAGGTCATCGCCAATGTTTAGAACCGACCTATAATATAATTAATTTATATACCTCTTTGTCAAATATGCACTTGTCCCCGCGTTTAGAAAGATCACACAAAACACAGAGAATATCCTAAAAAAAAAAAAAAAAAAAAAAAAGATAAAGTCGAATATAGACGGACAAATCCGTGCGCTCGATTATGCTGCAATTCATCGTTGGTTATATCACCTTGGTGGTTTCAAGACTACTGGTTTTCAACTCCCATAATAATTTCGGTAGACTCAAAACCCAGTTTTGCAAGGATGCGGCCAAGGAAGAATTTTGGCGATCAGAGAAATTTTGAGACTTTGAATTTTTGATTATAGTCAGCGTGGTTATACCAAAAAAAAAGAAAAGAAAAGAAAAAAAATTTTTTAATCATTCCATTTTTGAGCAACTACCGTTAACACCTTCGATATGAAATTTATGCATATTCGCTTCGCGTTCGACTGAACATGACACCTCTGAGAATAATCCAAGATCGCCTTTGAAATATCCGCCACATATTTTTTAAATCGGTTAATTATCCGAATAATTAAAGATGGTGTAAAGGGAATAACCAACCTACCTTGAAAACAATTTCTCGTCTTTCTTGATTCATACACACAAGCAAACCAAAAATAGTAGGTAACATTGCGGTCAAATATTCAGGCCTTGTGCGCATCGGCATCCTCGTGTCATTACTCTTCCCACTCTGCTATTGTTTGTCAAACCCGTAAACCAATTGAGTCAACTTGTCATCATTGCAAGATTAAATTATAAATGAGACTTCACCTCGGACCCCAAAAAATCGATGACGTAGTCAAAAACTTGATCAACCCAAAAGTTATTTGGTCCGGTCATCTCCACGTCATCATCCTTTTTCCTTTTCTTACGCGCGCGAGCCCGCATCGACCTTTCCGTTTTTACCGACAAAGGGGACGAGGTCGTCGAAATCAAATATAGGATAACCATTTCGCAAAACAAGACATCCATCTCTTGTAAAATTGATTCAACCTGTTCACGAATCTTAGTCATTTAGAAGTCCGATGTTCTCAAAAAGGAGGACATCACATACCTTAATATCCCGCGTTCCCTCAGATTCAGATCCATAAGGAAAATGAACGACGAGGTACTTGAGCAATTGTTTTAATGTTGTCCCAATCAATTGCTTATCATTCGCACTCTAATTGGTCAAGATTCACATGAACTTTTGTAGAACAGCCATAACGCAAGAATATGAGATTTGAATTTTACTTGGTTCCTAAAGATATGGTGTACATAAGAACGCCATAATAGGTTCATTATTTTCAATACATTGTGAATCATTTGCAACTCAGGACGCACGTGAAGCAATGCTGTTGCCGAGTCAAAAACCAATGGCACGGTGTCCAACCACGCGGAAAGAAGTATGGGATGTAAGGCATCAAATAATTCCTAAACGTAGGTAAAGAGATAATCGTGTTCAGGCAACATTCGATCCCAACATGGGCAAGAGTGAATCGAGAAGAGGGCTACCTTGATAATGACCATACGACCTTGTAAAGTAGAAGAATCGTGTTCAAACAAATTACCATTTAACTCTTCATCCCCTTTCCCAATGTTTACACGATTCCTATTAATTTCTGCGGTTGTTAACACCGAGCTGAACAAATTCAATTGCTTGGAATTTTGCACTACGCTTGATATCGACAGAAATGGTAGAAGAGTGGCCGACAGAGGATGTAGAGGAAAAAACTCCGTCTACGTAAATTTACTTGAATTTAATAATATACGTATCGGTCAAACTTGTAATTTTTATAATCAAATGCTGACCTCTCCATGAAACTTCGGCAAATCAGTTGAAATGTCCAGGTTTAGATTTCTCGGACGGTCGATGGACAAAAAATCAAAGAAAAACCGATGACTGCAGTGTGTAAAATGATGGTCAGGACAAAGAAGTTGCAGCCTAAGATTTTAAATGGTAATAAAACGAATAGTTACGAATTTTCTTCGTCTTCACTTGTCAATCCAAGTTTTAAAAGTTTATGGAAGCTCGATAATATTTCAATTTTGGTCTGCAAAAAAAAAAAAAAATTCCATGAGACGGGTCAAAATGATAAAGTTGACTTTAGATTTCTAACCTCGTGCGGCAAAAGCCGAGTCTGTGTATTGATTGACGAGCCGATAAGACTAGATGCTGGAGAATGATCAAGTTAGATCAAGGAATGTCATCACATGCCTTAAATCATGCCACTTCTCACCAGAGTTTCCAATACTCGCGCTGGAAAAATTCGAGTCGGAACTCAGTAGGCTAATATAATTTTGTATGACCTAAGGAGACAGCTCGTTATTACAAAATCCCTAACGAAACGGACGATATTGAGTCTTTTAATCTTCACCTTTTGCCAGAATCCATCCACTATGACATCGGGTGCCACCAGAAGCCATATCTCAATGAATTTTATCGCGTCAATCCTTATGTCTTCATATATGTGTGTCATCGCGGAACACGTGTATACGATAAGGAGAGGAAGAAAAGGCTTTAGATCCGACTAGGATCGTTATGATAAGTAATTGATTGGTATGCACATCCATCCTATCGGCCGTTTTTGTCAGAATGGCGTGAAACAACATACCTTTGGCATGCTTGGCATAAACTCCGTGAGAAATGCTAACAATGTCCTCCTGACATTTTTGTCCTGCAGACGGTTGAAAGATGATAATCAATTTCACAAATGGTAAAGGCACTTTCGGGACGTCATGCCTACATTGTCAACAATCAATCGCGCAAGCGAATTCACGATCGTGGTTAAAGATTCTGATAGCGCGTGCGGGTATTTAAGGAAAAAGTCTTTAAGGCCTTGGATGGCGTCTAAAAGTTGATTCGTAAATCGATCAGATCGGTCGCGTGCACTTCACGTAATGCTTTATAAATACACTCTACACTCAAAAGGATCGCAACCTCTTCGGGTTCCGGGGCTATAATGCTTCAATTGGGTGATAAGTTCATTTAGCGTTAAATTTCGCGAATTCGTTATTTCGTTGGTTTTGTCTTCCGTGATGCTTTGACCGGGCAAGATTATCGCTATATGCGTTGCAAAAAATCACGTTATGCACTTTAATTGACAAAGCAAAGTAAAAATGATAAAACGTGTATGCATTTACATCTTGATTTAAAGGTTGTGTTTGTAAAATTCGCGGCTGTGGGCTTCTTTTTGCCAACCTTGAGCTTCGGTTTCTATATGGACGTAAAGTTTGAATTACTCAACCTACTTAAGGGCGTCAAACCTAAACTCTGTGCCTCACTTTAAAATCTTCTTGCTGAAGTTTTCTTTTATGTTTGCTCTTTTTCGGCATTGTTTAACGACTCGATTTATCCAAAAACCATCCGAATAATTTTAAAGTTATCTTGATCGACCGGTTGGGCCAATGACGTTACACTACCCTAAATGCTCGGGATAAATTGAACTGGCTAGCTATGATACTTGACGCTACATATAAAAATTCTTTATACTGTATGTATCTCATAGATATTTTTTTTTTTTTTGGACGGGTGGCTCGGCCTTGCTTTATTTAACTTTCAAGTAGTTGAAGACAGCAGTTACAAGAAATAAAATCATAAATAAAAATTTCCAGCTAGTATTACAAATGTAATTTATACTGTATATCAGATGGCTTGTTGCCTAGAAGTAATTAAATGGATCATTTACTGTAATTCATTTAATTTATGCATCAAAGAAAGAAGATACAGTATATCGATCTTCCCAAATTTTCCCAAATGCATATGCACAAGCAAGTTACATTATTCCTAAATAAAAAAATGGATCCAAAAATTAACAACTGTTATTTATCTTTTAAGCTCTTGTCAATTCTTCATCTATTTGTTAAAGCTTGAGAAAATCTATTTTGCAATTCCAAAAACAGTTGCAATATCTTAATATCCTGTATCTTTTTTTTTTTTTTAATCTACGATCATACCATAATGGCTTGTCTTTATTAAGAAATTAAATCAAAATCTATAATAGTTTATAGACTTTTACAAAGTGATTAACTCATCTTCATATATACAGTAAGTACTTGATCAAATTTTTGAAAATAATATTACACTTCCTAATATATTTATTATGACCTCTATCTATCAGAATCATTTTCAATAATTTGTTACTGTTGATTAATTTAAAAATCAATAAATTGTTAAGTTAAAAAGAAAAAATAAAAAAATAAAAAAAAACAATCCAAGATTTATCAAAAAAGTTAAAAAATAAAATCAACTTTTTCTCAAAAAAATTTACTTGATTGAAATAATTTTCTTACTTAACTTTTTTTTTTTTTTTTAACATGCTAGCTCATTCCTGCGCCAGCTTCGAAACCTTTATTAATTATTAAGATAGATCCTAGGAACAATCAGGATAAGTAATTACCCGTATTGTCTAATGATAAAAAATAATTATGTTTCAATTTATTATTCTTTAAAACTTTTTTATTGTTGATAGAAATGATATTATTTGATTTTTTTGATTAATAAAGATCAAGTTTTTTTTTTTTAAAAAAAAATAATAATAATAAGAATAATATCAAATTTTAAAGTAAACTTTTAACTAATTTAAAAAAATAGTAAAGTTTTATTAGCTAAGAAATATAAGACTTTTTATAAATATTTTTTATATGTGATTAAAGAATCAATAAAAAAATTTATATATTTTATAAATATAAATATTTTATAATTAATTCAAACTATAAAAGAAGCAAATTATCTATTCAAAAAGATCTTTTTGCTAATCTTCTAATCACACACAAAAAAGATGTTTACAAGAAGTTTTATACTTCTTTACTAATAAAATTTTTATATTTTTATTAAAACAACTTGAAGCTTATCTTCACTTATCTTTCTTACTCACTTTTACTTATTTATAAACTCCTTTAAATAAAAATTTGGATCTCTAATAACTTAAAAAGACTTAAATATATATTTTTTCTACTAAGAGCAAGAAGATTCTAGAAAATAAAAAGACTGACAAGTGAAATATTATCTTATAGAGCTAGAAATAACAAGAAATAGAGATTTTGTTAACAAGAAAAGATTTATTATCCACTTTCTCATATACTATCTTATACCCCTTTAAAGTGTCTACTATTTTTCAGGATTATCTTAAGAGATTTTATCTATCTCAGTTTTATTCTAAATTTCTGGTAGTACAATATCACCTGACATCTGATTGGTTGATACAAAACACATCAGTAGCTAAATGTAAACAAGTCCCTACTGGTCACCTTACATGTTCTGATGATGTCATTGATGATTGAAAGAGTTAATTGATATCCCATATCCATCCCACTACTCCAATTGGGTTAACCTATAGATCAAGTTCTATAAGGTCAATAAGATATAAGCAATAAGTTTCCAGATGATGAAAAAGCTGCTATTTGTTCAAGTTGAGATCTTTTTCTTCTATCATCCCAGTCAGACAAAATTTAAAATCAAGATTTTCTTTTTATCCTAATCAGGTAATAAGACTGAACAGCCTCTAGTTTATACTAAGCTCCAACTTTTTGATTATAGTTGAGAATACATTTCTTCAGAAGTTGTTGAAAAATATCACAATTGACAAGAATCTCTATCATTCTCAAGATCCTCCCACTATTATAAGACAAAAGAATTATTGGAAAATCTGACCTTTTGAATAATGAAAATATATATTAATAAAATTCCTTTAATTAGACATGACTACTAGAAAGTATTATACCAAAATAATATAATCCAGTTCCTACTAAATTACATAAGAACCTGGGATTCATTATAAATTGTCTCTCTACTGCAGGTAAATAAAAAATCACTATTCAAAGAAGATTGGGAACAAGTATGTTCTAGAAGTAAAGATTCTTACTAGATAATAAGTCTTCTCAAATAGTATATGAGAAAAAAATCAAGATCAAGAATAAATAAGTTTCTCAAATAATCAGGAAAAGAAAAGATATCTCAATTAAATATTTTTTATTGAGAAGGGATCTTAAGAAGCAAGTCTTTGGAGAAAGCTGAAAATTTTTTTTTTTAATTTTTATCTTTTCATTTTCTTGTTATCTATTTAGACATTTTTAGATATCACTCTTTTTCTTTTTTCAATTCATCCTTTTGTAGTTTTCTGTATTTCAGTGGCTTGATCAAAAGAAGAGTAGATATTAAGTCCCTTGATCTTACTGTGATTCAAATTTTCTTTTTTGTCTTTCTTTTTTTTAAAAAATTTTAGTAGAGTATAATATTGTTATAATAAGTATATACTTCTCTATTTGTTGACTTATTTATTAAGTCTTGTATGTGCCTTTTGAGAAGGGTTGTGAAGTTGTTGGCTCTTGTTGATACTGCTAAGTTGGGTTTAATATATTTTGTTCTTTTTTCAAAAATTATCAAAAAAAAAATTTTTATTTAAAAAAAAAGAGGATCAGCAGAAAAAGTTTTTTTTATTTCCTATTAATTATACTTATATATTTTGATAGTATTAATAGTAATTAAAAAAATTTTTTTTAAAATTGTTTTTTTTCAAAAGTTTTAAATTCTTAATACCTTATTTACATATTTATACTTCACACTTACAAAAAAGATATTTAAAATATTAAAAAGTAAAAGATGAATAATATAAATTACAAAACCTATTCTTTTTAAGTTTTTAAGATAGTATAAAATCTTTTTAAATTAAAAACTAAAAAATCATTATAAACTATTTTAATTTGATATTTACTTAAATGATAAATCTAGTTAATTAATTTATCTAATAAAGCAAATTATAATAAAGAGAATCTCTTTTGAGATTCAAATAAAAATAAAATAAATATCTCAATTAGGCAAATTTTTTTTAAAAAAAAGTTATTTAATTAATAAATTTTATTAAAAGAGTTTATATTATATTTTTTTTTCTTATTAACTTAGCAATTTATAATTTTTAGACAACTTATAGTAATAAATTATTGATAATGAATCTAGAAAATAAAGAATTATATTAATTTTTTAGAAAAATAAAATATTGTTTTCAAAATTTAACTTAAAATACTTTGATACTATATACTGTAATAATGAATTATTATTATTATTTTTTTTTTTTTTAACCTGCAGTCAGGTTAGCATGGTGTGTCTTTATTGTATATATACAAAGATATTTACAGGATATTTTGACTTTCACATATTAACTTACCTGTCATCGAAAAACTATTTCTCTAGATACAACTTAGGAAATAATATTTCGCTCCTTAACTGACTTGGATAAATCCTCTAGTCAATTAAATCATTGCCTACAGGTCATTACTGTAG